CGCCCCATCCAGTTGCGCAAGAGCATGTGGAAGGGTCGGAACCCGGATGTGGTGCGCTAGAAGCAGAAGAATTTGGGCCTGAGGTGCGGTCTGTGGCCTGGCACCCGCTCCCACCGGTCCGGGGGTGGCTCCTCCACACAGTTCTCTTTGGAAACCCTCAACTATCCACTCATCCACCCATCCTCCCCAAAAGCAGTTTCAATAAATTTGGTTCATGTCCAAAAAGAAAAAAGAAAAAAACAGACAGCTCAATATTTATTGACAGAAATTCGTAGAATATGGTTAAATCCCAGTACTTGAGATCTGTCTCCTCATAGGAGTTTACATTATAGTGACTAAGAAGTTAAACCTCTTTCTCTACGAATATGAGAATTGTTACTGCTGGTTTGCTTCAAGTTGGCGGCACTGAGAGTGTTTCAACAAAGAGAATTATTAAACTCTAGCGCATGATATTTCATCAAATTGCCTCATTAGAGTATCTCAATTGAAAATAGAAACGCTAATAAGAAATGATTGGATTATTCAATATTAAAAAACTCATTTAAGCAAATATGGGCAAATATCTCCTAGAGATCTTGATTTCAATACTTTTGCAAATATACCCAGAAGTGGGGCTCACTGCATCCTATGGTACTTCTATTATTAATTTTATGAGGATTATTAATTCCAGTATCAATCAAAATCTATAAATTGAAAATCAATAAAAATTATATTTGAAAACTGTTCTAAAAACTTTTTAGAACAGTTTTATATTTAAAGAAAAACTGCATAGTGCACAGTTGCCACCAACGCCACATCCTCTATTATTAACATTTTACCTTAAGCAGAAACATTGCTATAATTAATGAACTAATACTAACACATGATAATAACTATCGTTCCTGCTGTATTCAGATTCCTTAGATATTTTACCAGATGTCCTTCTTCTATTTTAGGACCCCATTCAAGAAACCACATTGCATTTAGTAGTCATTTCTCTGTAGGATGCTCTTGGCTATGACCGTTTCTCAGACTTTTCTTTGTTGTAGAGATTCTTGACAGTTTTGATCAAGTATTTTGTAGGATGTCCCTGAATTGGGATTTGTCTGATGTTCTTTTCATTATTATACTGAAATTATGAGACTTGGGGAGGAAGACCATAGAGGTAAGTTGTCTTTTTTTTTTTTTTTTTTTACCTTTTCCTTGTATTAGTTTCAGATATACAATATAATGACTCCATATTTGTACTTATTTTAAAATGATAGCCACAATAAGTCTAGTAAATGTCCAACACCATTCATAGTTATAAAATTTCTTTTTTTTTTTTGTGATAAGAAGTTTTAAGATTTACTCTCTTCACAACTTTCAAATATGCAAAGTGGTAATATTAACAATAGTCCCCTTGCTGTAATTATACCACATAACTTATTTATTTTACAACTAGAAGTTTGTACCTTTTGACACCCTTCACCCATGTCATCCACCCCCAACCTGTGGCAACCACCAAACAGTTCTCTGTATCTATGAGCTCTTTTTTTGATTGTTTTCTTTCTCTTTTTAGATTCGACATATACATGAGATCATATTGTCTGTCTCACTTATTTTACTTAGTATAATGTTCTCAAAGTCCACCCATGTTTTCTCAAATGACAAGATTTATTTTCAATTATGGTTGAAACATATTCATATATACATATATAATTTAATCCATTCATTCACTAATGGACGCTTAGTTTATTTTCATAGCCTGGGTATTGTAAATAATGCTACGATGAATATAGGGTACATATATCTATTCAAATTAGTGTTTTCTTCCTCTTCAGATAAGTAATCAGAAGTGGAAATACAGGATCATATGGTAGCTCTATTTAAACCTCTATACTGCTTTCGATAGTGGCTGTACCAATTCCCACCAAAAATGCACAAGGGTTTTCTTTTTTCTATATCCTCACCAGCCCTTTTATTTCCTGGCTTTTTAATAATAGCCATTCTAACAGAGGTGAGATGACATCTTATTGTGCTCTGATTTGCATTTCTTTGATGAGTACTACCGTTAAGCACCTTTCCATGTACCCGTTGTTCATCTCTACGTTTTCTTTGGAAATATGTCTATTCCGATCTTCTGCTCATTTTTAATGGGGTATTTTGATGTGAAGGGGTTACTATTGAGTCGTATGAGTTTTTTGTATATTTTGAATATAACCCCTTATGAGATATATGATTTGCAAATATTGTCTCCTTTTCAGTAGGTTACTTTTTCACTTTTTTTTGTTTTTGACGATTTCCTTTCCTGTGCAGAAGCTTTTTAGTTTGATGTAATCTGACTTGTTTATTTTTGCTTTTCTTACCTTTGCTTTTGGAGTCAGAGTCACAAAATCATTGCCAAGACCTATATCAAGGATCTTACAGCATAAGTTTTTTTCTAGAAGTTTTATTTGTTTCAGGTCTCACATTCAAGTCTTTAATCTATTTTCAGTCGATATTTGTGTATGGCGTAAGATAGTGGTCTACTTTGAGTCTTTTCCATGTGGCTGTAGTTTTCCTACCACCACTTATTGAACAGACTGTGCTTTCCCTGTTGCATATTCTTTGCTCTTTATTGTTAATAAATTGACCATATATTCATGGATTTTCTATTCTGTTCCATTGGTCTGTGTGTCTGTTTTTATGCCAGGACCACACTGTTTAGATTACTATAGCTTTGTAATATAGTTGGAAATCAGGGACCCTAATGCTTTGAATTATGCATTATTTTTCCTTCTCAAGACTGCTTTGGCCTCAGGGTTTTTTGTGGTTCTACACAGATTTTAGGATTATTTTTTCTATTTTTGTGGGAAAAGCCATTGGAATTTGATAGGAATTGCATTGAATCTGTAGATCCTTTTGGGAAGTATGGACATTTGAACAATATTAATTTTTCTAATCTATGAACACATTATATCTTTTCATTTGTTTTAGTTTTCCTCAATTACTTTCATCAGTGTCTTATAGTTCAGAATTCAGGTCTTTCTCCTGCTTCGTTAAATGTATTTCTAGGTATTTTATTCTTCAATCTCAATTGTAAATGAGATTGTTTACATAATTTCTCTTTCTCGTAGTTTATTATTACTTTACAGAAACACAACAGATTTTTATAAATTAATATTGTAACCTGCAACATTACTGAATTCATTTATTAGTTCCCAGTTTTTTGGTGGAATTTAGAGTTTTTTTATATATAATGTTATGTTATTGGATTGCATTCCATTTTTTGAAAATACAAAGTATCCTAGAATTTGTAAGAGGTTCATTTGAAAAACCTTTTTGTACACAAAAAAACACATACTCCATCTAGCCAAGACCGGTTACACATATATGCAGTAAAATTATTCAAGAATCTTTCCTATAGTGTACCACAAACATGCAAAATATAGAAAATGTGTATTGATGCTTATGTTTATAACAATTTTATTTATACTTTTCAGTTACTTAGATGTAAATATTTAACAAGAATTGACTAGTTTACTAAAATACAGTGTACCATACAATACTATGTTATATACATCTTTAACTCATTATTTATGTAATGTTCTTGATGCCAAAAAAATGCTCATTATGTAACATTTAGTTTTTTTAAAAGTAAAGCATAAGATACTTGCACAGCTCATATTCTCTGAAAATATGTTTAAATGGCAAAAACCTTTTGTAATTACAAAGTATTTTTTAATGATATAGTTAGTAGTCAATAAAACACTTTGTGTTATTTTATATTTCTGTTGAAAAAATTAAAATAGTTTTGCAATATTGACTATAATTATTCAAGTGCTAAATTAAGTAGAAGCAAGATTTTATATTAACATAATGTAATTCTTGTTTAATTTTGAAATACTTCAGAGAAACACTAGGAAATCAAAAGAGTATGCCTGGCTAAACTATATATGGCATACTTATCTACAAATACAATGAACAGGAGATAAAAATGCCTGCAGACTTGTATAGTTTTGGCATGGAATTGGGTCAACATTACTTTGCTAAGTGAGAAAGCTGCATTCTAAAAGAGTAAGTATAATATAGTTTGATTAAAATTTATATTATCTATACACATATAAACAGTAGAAAATATGTAGCTGTACTCCATAAAATATGAACAGTGAATAGCTCTATGTTGATAAAATGGGCAATTTTATACAGATTTTGTATCTAATAAGGTGAGTTCTAAGAACGAGAATATTCTTGACTGTATCAGATGCTGTTGATGTCCCATGTACGATGTAGACCGAATATTGACAGTTGGATTCTACAGTGCGGAAATTACGGTGATATTCAGTTCAATAGCATAGGAAAAAGTCTGACTAGAGTTAGATCAAGAAAACTAGGGAAAAGGTATTAAATCCTGAATGTATAGACAACTCTTTTGAGGTGTTTTACCGTAATGGGGAGAAAGAAGAAGAAAACCAGGAAGAGGAAGAAGTAGAAGAAAGGGAGAGGCAGAGGAAAGACTATAGGAGGATGTGGATGCCAGAGGCCATTGCCTGCTTTCCTCCCTCTCTCCCTCCTTCCTTTAGGTGGACAAGTAACAAAATGTGTACAGATCAAGCTGAGCCTATGAAGAATAAAATTATGTGATCGAAAGGACAGAGGGAATAATATGTAGAACAACATCCCAATGTAGAGGAGAGGTACGGGAACTGTTTCACCACAGCAAAGAGTCAAACAAACCAGGAAAGAATAGTCCAGCAATTGCCCATGTTCATCTCTTTCCAAATACCTATCTAGGGTTCAAGAATAGGGTGGTTTATTTTTCAGACTCTGGGTGAGAAAGCCTACTGGGTAACAACAACAAAAAAAAATCGATCTTTTATTATTGATCAGAGACATTGAAAAGCATGTCTTTAGCTCCCCTGTGGACTTGCTCCAAAACATATTCTCAGTAAAATATTTGTCTGGTCTCAGCTGTCCCTCACCTACGAGAGCTTCTAAATCTCGCCTCATATATTGGCAGAAATGTTGAGAAAACAGTAGTTTGTTTCTCATTCCTGAAGTCATATCTCTTTTGGAAACAACACATGAGTCACCTGTTCCCTGATCTGTTTGGTCTTGATCCCATAAATGATGGGATTCAGCATAGGAGGAGCCACAATGCAGACATTGGCCAGCAGGATGTGGACATGGGGTGAGATGTGGCGTCCAAACCGCTGAGTGAGGGTCGTAAAGATCCCAGGGACATAAAAGAGAATGAAGACACAGACGTGGGAACCACATGTGTTGAGAGCTTTGTGGCGAGCATCTTGGGAAGGGATGCGGAAGACGGCACGAAGAATAAGCATATATGAAACAATAATTAAGAAAACATCTAAAGAAATTGTTGATATTAGGACAAAAAGTCCATACCAGATGTTTACTCGTATGTCATTACAGGAATATTTAGCCAACCCAATGTGTTCACAAAGAGTGTGTGGTAGAATGTTACTTTTACAAAACGTCAGTCTTTTCAGAAGAAATGTCATGGGGAATACTGTACCAAAACTTCTCAGTAAGATGGTCACACCAATTTTCTCAATCAGCATGTGTGTAAGAATAGTGGTGTATCTCAGTGGGTAGCATATGGCAATGTAGCGGTCAAACGCCATCGCCAGCAGGATTCCTGACTCGGACATGAACGTGGAAGTGACGAAGAATACCTGAGTGATGCAGCGATCCAGGGAGATCTCCCCAGCATGGAACCAGAAGATAGCCAAGGCCTGAGGTACTGTGCACGGAGAGGACAACGTCTGTTCCGGCCAGCATGCAGAGGAAGAGGTACATGGGTTCATGTAGGCTGCTTCTTGTGAGGATAATAAAGATGAGCAGGCTGTTCCCAAGCAGAGCCATGACGTAGGAAATGAAGAAGGGGATGGAAATCCACATGTGCTTTTCCTCTAAGCCGGGGATGCCCAGCAAGTGGAAGACTGTGTGGCTAACACCAGTGCGGTTTGAGGTAGTCATGTATGGGGAGACCGCAAGAGACATCACCTCTTATTCACAGAGACAGAGGAAACTGCTGATTTTCCTGGAATAGCTTTTGTGAAGGAAGGCACCAGCAGCTTTTGTCATATTCCACATTTCCATCTTCTTTGAACATACAAATAATAAGAAACATAAAAGGTCTAGTGTCAGTGTTAATTCAAAGACATGCATAATTCCGGCTAATCAAATAAAACACAGTATCGTATGTATATCTCCTACAAAAAGAGAATTGTGTCTATACAAAATAATCTTTCTATGTATCTGGGAATACTATAACAAGTGTATCTTGCTCTTGAAGAACTGGAATTTGGCCTTGCGGTAGATACTTTATCGTAAGGAGAGGAACAGAAAAAGAGAGAAGCCACTAAAGAAAACGCGAGTATTCAAATCAAAGTATAGCATGTTCATGAAACACTGTTCAGTTCCATGTGGCTGCGCATAGAGAATATGGATAAAGCAAGGTAGATGGTTGTTCATTTGGTCTAAGTGATGGAAATGTGATTTGAAATCTCTCGGGTTTCACCACATACAATCACTCACTTCTGAAGAGAGTCAAGAGACCTTTAAGTGGTAATTTGGCTGGGCATGCATGCCTGAGGTGAAGCACTCACTGCTTATGCTCACCCCTTAAGGAACCGAGTTTAGAAATAACTAAAATTGGAAGTAAGGCATTATTTCTGGGAGGAGATGTGCATGATATTTGGAAGCTTTTTGCACTTGGAAATTTTATCATTTATTTCAGTGTGTACATTCATTCATTTATTCATTCACTCAGTCATTCAAGAAGCAGTAACTATTTTTCAGGCCCCATGTAACAAACCAGGAATCTAAAAAAATGGGGTCTAACCAATGGAGTGTATACCTAAAACTAATAATGGAAAAAAAAAAGGGAATTTGACAGCATATGGATGCTTGTGAGAAAGTTCTCTCGGCGAGGGCCGCCGACATCCTGCAGGAAAACTATTGGGATAGCACCAGAAGACTGCAAGGGCTCGTGCATGCCCCACAGACTCGATTGAGAATTGAAAGGAGAAAAATGGCAAGAAAGAAGAGGCCACAGAGGACACGTATCAGCAAATGAAGAGCTGGAGAGGGAGAAAAGATTGTGGAAGCTGGTAATGACCAGGTGTTTTGGGAAAGGGAGCAACAGAGGAAATTTTATTAATTAAAGCCAGAAAAGAAGCCAAGGAGCTCAAAGTCTGAGGATTTGCCATTTTGATTGGTCTCCTGACCAAGCTAGAGTGACTTTGGTCTCACACAAGTTCTTCTAATCGTTCCTCCTCCGTGGTTCTGTTCTCACACCTGCCCAAGACGTCCAGGTCCACTTCTCAAGCCCTGCTTTGCAGAGCCCAGCACAGATCCTTGTCATTCTTAGGGCTCTTCTCATATTTGCCAAGAGGGGTCTGCCATCAAGTCAATATCTTTTCAGTTTTCTCGTGCTTAGTCTAATTATTAGACACTAGTCATATATCAGATTATTTCTCTTTATTTACCAAACTTCATTAACCTCAGCTACCCATAAACTCTGAACTTCCCTTTCCACACCTCACCCTCCACTTCTGCTTTAACCAACAATACTAGTGCCTCTTATCTTTGACATTCTTCAGATACATGTATCAATAGCCTCCAAGAGTCCTGACACCTCTGGCCTGTTGGGGACATAACACCAGCCCCGTACTTACCTTGATCCTGGAACCAACCCACCCACAGATGTCTAGTTCACTCACCAGCTTTTGCTGAGTCTTCAGGAACAGACATGAGGTTCGAAATGAAATTCAGTTGGTTGGGGGCCAGGCAGTTGGGCTATTTATTCTCTTGCGTTAGAGCGCTTGAGAGATGCACCTACATTAGGGCCCCAAGGACACAGTTGTCTTCACCAACCTCCGCCTTTTCCCAGATGACTTTATCCCAGGTCTACGTCCTGCTCCCCTAGGACTTCTCCTGATTATTTTATCTCTTGCTTCTCCTCAGATGCTCTGAAATCCATCTGACACCAAGTGTTCACATGTATGATGTTTCACTAAAAGAAAAAAAAATCTCTCCCAGTTAAACCATCTTTGCTACAAGCCTGTCTTAATACTTACACTGGCATTAAATATTGAATTACATTAATTAATATTAAAGTTATTTTCAATCTGCAATATCAATGCATGCAATTAATATGTAGAGATAATTTTCAAATTTTTGTTCTTCATGTAAACGGTGATGTTGCAGTTATAGTCATCTCCAGAGTGGTCGAGGGATTCTTCGTCTTTTGGAGTTATAAATAATTGAGTTTCAATTCATTCCTCAGGGTACATACATGTCTGTGCACAATTTGTAGCATACATGTTATTCTTGACATTTGTGACACATTTTTATTTTAATTGCTTGCCTAGTGTATCATTCTGTTTAGTACTTAGTAACCAAAAGTTCACATTTGTGGTCGTTGGGGAAAAAAATTTGTTTTCTTTATATTCTTTTATGAGGACATTTATATAGATTTTATTCAATCTGATTTTATGGTGTGAATTTTTTTTAAATCTGGAAATAACAATATTTTAATTATAAAAGTAGTCTCATACAGTATTTTTTAAAAACCAGATAATAAAGACAAGAAGAAGAAAGTAATCCCACTTTCAGAAAAATAAAATGCATGTTTTGATATAATATTTTCAAAATGACCCACAAATCTTCACAGATGCATTGCACTCTCTTATAAATTAAGCCACCCTCTTTCTCCTCCGTACCAACAGATATACATTAACAGCTATAATTGTCATGAGACCTGTGGATCCTTGATGAATCGTTCGCTGAAGCTAATATGTGAAAAATGTCTACATATAAACACTGGTAAAACAGATCTGAGCATTTTCTACAACATGTAAATGAGTCTTTTTTAGACTCAGAGTGGCACTAAATATCATATAATACTAATCCACTGGTATAAAACTTCAGTGACATGAAATGAGTAAGTTGTAGACATCTGCTGTACCCACTGTGCCTCTAAATAACAATAATAAATACTGTATTATGTACTTAAAAATCATATAAGAGGGAAGATATCAGGTTAAGTGACTTACCACAATAAAATAAACTTTTAAAAAAATCATAAAAGTTTTCGAAGCCAATAACAAGATGGCAGAAGGCGGTGAAATAGAGTGGAGATTGGAGAAGCCTCATGGTCAAAATAGGGATTTTAAAGCGTCAGGTTAGAGACCACCAATCTGAAGACTAGAATGGACAAGGTATGTTTCATGGAGAACTACAAGCATCGGTGCCAATTGTCAGAAGCCACTCTGAACTCCACCATCAAGCAGATGTCTGTATAATTAATGAATTCCTTGGCTAGAGTTAGAATTGGCCTTGAAAAGAAAGGAGGAGGGGAGGTAACTTGAACTGACTGAGAAAATCTTATATTGACAAGGTTACCTTATTCAAAAATGACTGGTTTAAGCTTTCAACATTAGGTAAGAAAAGGCCTAAATAAAAACATTATAGTTAATATGAATTATGTTTAGCCTAGTGTCTAAGCATGCAATTTTGAGGTCAACTGCCCAAGTTCACATCCAGCCTCCACATAACTAGCTGTAAAGGTACATTATGTAATCCGTCTATGCTTCAGTTTCACAATCTGGAAACTGGGATAATAGAACCAGCTCCAGAGGATTGTTGTTAAGATTAAAAATTAATACATACAGCGTGGTCAATCATATTAATTGCTTGATAAATATGAGGGGTGTGTGTGTGTGTGTGTGTGTGTGTGCGCGCGCATGTGTATATATATATATATATATAATGTTCTGGGATATAAGCATATACTTTTTACTCCAAGATTTTGTTGTCTGAAAATATCATATGTGTTAGAGATGAGAATCTAGTCCACCATTTTAAAAAAACATCCTGCAGTGCATCCTGCACCATAAACATTTTTGGACCATAATTTTATCATGTTTCTACAATAAAAGTATCTGCAAAGATGAAGTACATTCACCAAGAAGGCCTGCCCTTTACCCTGTTATCAATGCATTGATCTGGGCACAGGTAGAAAGACTCTAGCTTGCAAGGGGATACCAAGCTGCTTAGCCCCCAACAAGTGGTAGAAACTGGAGAATACAATCCTCTGATTTGAGGCTTGCAAGAAAACCCAACTGCCTGCGGTAGACATTTAGTGGAAGCTAAGACAGGCTTGGGGGTTATGGGGATATTTGTGGTTGGCAACTGGTCCTTCAAGAACATAAATTTGGTCACACCCATATCACTGGAGCCAAATGGCTGCCATGTAATTTCCATGAGGGCAGGGATTAGACTACACTATTCACTGCTGCATCTCCAGTGCAGAGAACAGTGCCTAACACATGAGGAGAGCTCAATAAACATTTGCTGAATGAAAGAATCCAGCTTGTGGATTTGAGGATCAATCCATTGGAGGGAAGGAACAGGTTGTGATGAGTATTAAGTACCTCTGAGAAGAATTTTTGGAATTTATCCTAAAGGCA